TGCCTATGTCATGTACCAATGTAGGGCAGCAACCTGTGCTTTCGTGCGGAAAAGGCGGGTGTAGATCTTGGGGGGGGGGTGACCATATATATGTATGTATGTATGTATGTATGTATGTATGTATGTATGTATGTATGTGTGTGTATATATATATACACACATTAAATAGAACATACTGTAAGGACCCTATTGCAACTACTAGGACCCTCCATGCTGTCCCAAAACCGTCTGGCCCGCAATGCAGTGCCTGACTTCTACCATTCCCAGGGAGGCGCTGCTCTTGCAGCAGGAGCATCTCGACCCTGCGGCGGGCTCAGGGACAGCGTTGCTAGGGTGAAAGCCGAGGCAAGAGTTTCTAATCAAGGGTCAGGACTTGAGCTAGAACCTCCCGACTATGGTCTGAGAATGAAATTGACGAGCCAGGTTGGATGACATGATCGGGAGCCGTTCAAGTAGCAACTCAAGAGGGCTTGCGACACATCTTGCGGCGTTATGCACGCACCATGTCATACCCTTGACCTCGCCACCATCATCCTCATCATCAGAAGCATCATCACCAGCATAGTTGTCATGACTATCACCAGCGTTCTCCGAGAGCTACGCGCAACCTGGCAGCTCTGGCAATGCGTACCTGGCGGTGGCTCCAAACCCTAAGCCGTAATCTAAAACCCTTAAACCCCAGACCCCCAAACCAAAACCCCTGAACCCTGGCGCCCTTAGCCCGAAGTCCGAGAGCCTCATAGAACCCTTTTACTACCTTCTTAAAGGCCTTGAGCCCCGCCAAGAAACTCTCCAAAAAAGGGACAGAAAGCCTAAACACTTCATGCCGTCTAGGGCCCTCTCAAACTAGAAAAGAAATCCCAAAAGTCTTGTCAGCAACGCTAAGCCTGGAAGCAGGAGCTCAACAAGTGTACAACAAACCAGCCCGAAACCCTGAAAGCCGTAAACCCTGAGGCCAAGTCCGGACCACCTCCGGGTACCTTAAACAAAGCCGCCCTCAGCAAGCTTTTGGCGCTGTGGGAGGCGTTGAAAAGGGTGTTGTTGTTGATTTCTGTTGGGCTTTTTGGTGGTTTTGGGGTTTAGGGCTTAGGGTGTAGGGCTTTTGGGGTTTGGGGTTTAGCCGCTTTGGGTGTTTTGAGCTTCGGTCTTATTGTTGAGGGTTTATGGTTTTAGGGGCTTTTCGGGTTGTGTTGGGGTTCCTGCACGGCCTTTAGATTTCATGGCGTGTCATGGGACGTTTAGGGGATTTCGGGTTTTAGGGGGTCGGGTTGGGGATTTTGGAGGTCTGTGGTCGGATTCTCGGGTCTAGGCTTTAGGCTTTTAGGGTCTAGGCTTTAGGGTCTGGGGTTCAGGGTCTAGGTTTTGGGTTTTTCGGCGTCCTTTGCGTTCCCCGTCGATACAGTCACAGCTTTGGTTCGGGCCTCCCTTCCTGAGCCTTTTGATTCCCGAAACGCCAAGGTTGCATGAGGGCACTTGCCCGAATTGTGCGCGCTCTACCGAAACCTGACTGATTTCACTACGGCTTCCGGGTGGTGGTATGGGGATTTAATTGGGTGAAGAAGCAGCTCAGCGTGCGTTCGCGTCCCGTCCTCTACGTCCCCTCCTCCCGTGATTCCGATGTTGCTCGGCCCTTGTCAGGCAACCCGACCTCCACGACCCTGAACCTGCAAACCCGAACCCCCATTCAAGACAAAGATATAGTCAATCATCATACAAGTACTAGCAGTACGAGTCTTCGCAGTAACAGTACAGACATGATATCCATACAAAAAAATCATCGTCATCATCAGCATCATTGTCGTCATCACCACCACCAGCACCATCATCGCCATCATCACCATCACCATCATCATCATCATCAACATCTTCTTTACCATGATAGCGGTGTTCATATCAGCGAAAGTATGAATAATCGCAACATCAAGGCCCAAAGGAGAATGGCAATCAGAGCAATCGGGTTTGGAAGCCGAGTGTCCGGAGGCGAAAGGGCTTGTGCAGCCACAGCCAGGACCTTGGAATGCTGTGGTGCGGTCGTTTGGGGTTGGGGATTTCCCCAAATAGGCTAGCTCCTGTGTCTTTCTGGGTTCTAGGTGCAAAACCCTATAAGTCAGGAACGCCCCGTTCTTGTGTTCGGGGCTTCTAGGGTTTTGAAAATTAAGGAGCCTAAGGATCATATAGGTAATTATTGAGGCTCCTATATTAGGTTTAAGGTTTGAAGGATTTAAAGTCTACAGTAGGAAACCAGCAATTGGTGGAGCGCGGAGCGAACATGATTTTATGCTATTGTTCCACTTTTCCTCGGTTTTGGGCAGGTGGAGAAGGGCGTTCCATTTTTCTTGCTTCGACTGTGGTGCTTCAGGGATTTCCGGGATTCACTAACCTACCTAATTCGGTTTGCAGTGGTTCTGTTTTCAGGATATTGTGTCGGACTTGTTCAGGGGCCTTGACTTGAACTTCCGGGCTGCGGGCCTAGGACCTAGGTTTTCAAAGTTCATTATCCCGGTCCTAAACTCGAAAACCCTGCACCCTAAACCCTAAACCCCTAAACCCTAAACCCTAAACCCCTCAGCCCTAAACCCTAAACCCCTAAACCCCTAAACCCTAAACCCCCAAACCCCTAAACCAGATCCAAGCCCCCTTCCCGTGCTGCTTGAGGTTCCCCCACCCCGGAACCCCAAGCTGACAGATGGGTCGTTCTTTAAATTGGGTTTAGGGTTTAGGGTTTAGGGTTTAGGGTTTAGTTTAGGGCCCTTTTATAGGGTGCTGCACTATTTTTGGGGATTTAGAGAACTACCTTGATACAGAAGCTTGAATAATTGGACCAGGCCTTTTTGGGAGCTTCAGACTGCAACAGAAAATATGGAGGGGGCAATTTTAACTGCATTTCAGGCTCGAGGCAGTGCTCCGCGAATCTTAGGAGAGTCGGGAGCTGCACTTGATCCGACGAGCTTTTAGCTCGAAGCTTCGACATCCCATCATGGCGGCGCCGACCTCACCTGATGTGATTGTCATCGGCGCTGGCCTGGCAGGGCTCTCGGCTGCGAGGAGAGGGCGAGACTGCTTGGGGGTGTGCGGATCTCTAAGTCCGGGAACCAGGGCTGAAGAAGTGGATGTGTGATTTGTGGCTTTTGAGCCCATGTCTAATGATATGGCACGATGCGCCAAGAGACAACGGTAGCATATTGCAAGCCAGGCTATGTGACAACTGTTCGATCTGTGTTGCAACGGAGAAGGACATCGTACAGCCACGCTGCACTTAGACCTGAAAACCTCAGCCGGAAACCCTAAACCCTCAACCCCTACACCCTACATCCTGTGTGAAACTTGCACGCCGGAGAACATACTGGTGTTTCCGCTCGCAGCTGCTGTTGAAATCTCTGCCAGGAGATACGTACGGTCTCCATTGCAGTTCCCTTTTTGGTTTAACCATTTAACCTTCTTTATAGTGGATCCTAAAAGACA